GTAATTTTTACATGATTTTTACTTTTGTTTTTTTCATTTCTGCAGCCACTCGTCGGTTTCCACCTTTCCTGACCGACAAACAGTGACGTGAGAAACGGTGTTAACAAACACCTAGTGCAGCAGCTTTTGGGATAAACAACTCAGCTGGCTTCGTAGCGGTCGGGAGTATTGTTGCGAAGACTGTTGTTTCACTGAACCGTAGTAGGCTTCTTTGAAATTTTTAGTTGTAAGGCAAGATCGACAGAAGGTTCAGATTTCTTTTAATTACATTTACCAAAGTGTAAAACTTTTACTCTTTGACGCTGTAAAAGCCAAGCCAAAAAAAAGCAAATAAGGATGAGTTTGGCGAGGGAAATTCCGAAAAAAAGTTCTGGCGACGCCTTTAACTATTATCATGCATGACTTGCACCTTCAACCCACTACCAGCTATCTAAGTACCTTTGCGGAGTTTATTAGAAGGGAAAATAGGTACTGTTTTCTACTTACCCTCTACTGTCTTGCGTTTGACAAAGAAAGCGTTTAACAACAGTATTCTGATGCTAACTTTCAAAAATTTAATCTTTTCCGGTGAAACCGTGAAAATGAAAATTTTGAGCTGAAAGAGTTCATTGGACCGCGATAACTGCTGAATGTATCAGTGTCAGATCTGTAAAAAACATTTAAATGAAAAGACAACATTTTAAGGTTAAAACCAAAAAAGTAAGCAATTAGAAACGATCCAAAATTTCTGCTAACGTGCTCATTATTTGCAAACTTTTTTTTTTTTTTTTGCTTTTAATTCTTAGTTTATCCTCAAAAAATATTGTTGCAAAACTTATACGCTACAAATGTTACGGTCAAATATGCAAATGCTAGTAGAAAAGGTAGCATAATCGTCATAAGAGCTATTTGACTTGGAAAGCTGAAAGACATGTTTAGTTTATTTAAAGAGTGACAGAGTCTTGCTGATAGTCTTCGTTCTTGTCATCAAAGCACTTTCATTTTTACTTCTTAGTCATATTCTGTTGTCACTCTAGTTAGTAGCAGCATATTAGAATGGTTCTTCTGAAGTCAAAAACCAAGATTTTACAGTGACATTTAAGCTTTTTTTGGCGTAGAGAGAAAGAATATTTATTGAGCTCAGGAAGCACACCTCAACTATTCCGCTTTTTGGAATAAAAGATGAACATTATCACCCGATACGTCCTGCATTATTTATCAGCAATGCAGTTTTTGTGTGATTTGGGAATAAGGAGTATTTCTCACTTAACAGTTTTAAACTGTATAGTACCAAAAGTAAAGCCAAATCGGAATTGTGGAATGCCGTCCAGGTTTTCCTTCTGCTATTTTAGATAACGGGAGTGAAGTTTAACCTTACAGGAGTGAAGTTTAACCTTCTAATGAATGACGGAATTTTCCTTTTACTTTTGATTCGAATCAGTAACCATGAATCAGTAACCATGACCTTAAAATGTCTTTTTTGCATGAAAAACTAACTTTCAGTGGTTTTCCTTTTTTTCAAAAGAAAATAGAGTTGGTTAAAATCTCTTCAAAAACAGAAAAGAGCTTTAATGCGCAAATTATTTTATCGAGTGTATCAAGAAAAGTTAAGACTTTTTATTCACATTTTCACCAGCTCCGAATTTTCCATCCAAATATTTCCAAAATTTTAAACCATACGTTAAGTACTGCTTATCTTTTTTTCCAAGTATCATTTCATCACTTTAATTTGTCTTGCAGAACTAACACATCACTTAGAAGGCCCAGTAAAATGGAAGTCAATCAGTAAAAAATTTTTGAATGTTAAAAAGAATTTTAAATTTGATAACAAACTGTATACCAGGTAAAATAAGTTGAACCGTAGTTGCATCATGACGTTATCTCGTTTTTGAACAGTAATATGTAACACGTTTTCATTTATCCTACAATAAGCCGAAAAGGGGTTTTAGCCTTCATAATGTTTGTTTTATTTACAATATTAATTTTGCTGTGTGATTCACCTTCTGTAATTATGTTATTGCTTAGCAATCGATTTGTCTGCTAAGCTTCTATCCCTCACTTATCCGCCTCACTCTTACCTGGGGATGAAAAAGCTTCATCACTTTTTTACACCGTCTATTTCTTTAACGTCGCCAGCTTTAGAAATGAAAAGAACTTTCGGGTTTTACAGCATGAAATACATTTCTTAGTGCCATTAAAACCATAGACGACACAAAAATTGCTGAAAACAAGCATAATTCCCTTAAAAATTTAGCTTTCACCTATTAACAATTCTTTAAATGAAGCATTCTATAAATATTTAGCCATTAGCACTTAATGCTACCAGAAATGCTTATCAGTAGTTGTGAATTTTGCAGTTAAAAAAGTTCCTTTCTAGAAACTGATTTGTACTTTTGCTGATGGAAATCAGGCAGCAAAGCAAATGCTTATATTGTTTTTCAAGCACCGGATTTTAAAGTGTCATAAAATCGCTTAGTGCAGATATCCTAGTCTGCTCTAAGCAGTCAGTCCCCATTTTCAAATGAAGTTGTAGAACTTAGTTTGTAAAAAAACTTAGTGCTGATCCCTTAGAAAAGCTTACGGTGATGTCAGACCAATTCACAGAAGACCAAGTGGTGGAGATTGAACAAAACTCGAAGATAATTAAAATTAATCAAGGCAGAAACAGAATAGATAAAGAATAGATAAGAACTCAGGATTTTAGAGAGGAGAATTAAATCTACTAAATGAGCATGCAGTACACTGAAAACATTAACAGAGAACCGTTTCAGAAATTTAAGGTTACGACTTAACGAGTTTTTAGAGCAGATTTCGCTTCTCTTTAACGGCTGGCTCACGTTTGCCAACACGATCAATTGTCTCTCCTTCAAGAATTCCTTTTCAGAAAAACTACATTCGACTGTGAAACTGTTAATGACTACGATTTTTCTCCTGAAAAGGTAGTCATTTACAGTTTTACAGTCGGATGTAGTTTCGCGCACGGTCGCAGTAATTGGCCGTCATATCCAGCATTGTCATTGCCAGTGCCGTTGATCTGCAAAAGAAGTTTCTTGGTCTGAAAAAGAATTATTCACAGCCACTAAAGGTGAGAAAATGATTACAAAATTTGCTGAACATATTGCAGATGAAAGCGGGTCTAGAACTCGAAAAACAGTAAAGAGAAGAAACCTGTTGCGCACATCCGGAAAAGAATCAGGGCACACCATAGTACTCGCTGCTAATGAATATCGAAATTAAAAAGAAACAACTTTACTTCCAGACATGAATTAAAA